CTGTGTTCTTTGAACTAACCATTCTAATGAATGACTCAATGACTCGCTCATCACTCTTGCTTCGTCCCTCAACGAATCAGTTTTTTTTGTGTGAATCGTTCTAATGAATGACGCAATGACTCACTCATCACTTCTGCTTCGTCACTGAATGAATCTGTGTTTTTTAAACTAATCGTTCTAATGAACGACTCAATGACTCACTCCAGTGTTTCCCCTACCATTGTTTTGGGGGGGCGGCCCGCCCCCCCAAAACGCCCCCCCGCCCCTCCTAAATTGCTGACGAAATCCAGTCATAAAAAATAAATTTACTGTATAACGCGGAATTTCATGAAATTTGTCAATCTTTTGAGGAATAAATAGAAAGCAGTTCAGTATGAAATCAAATCGCGATGTAGACAAGTGTGTGTGGATATTAAACCACAAAGACAATTTAAATACGAATCCTGCTTGTTCTGTGTGAATGAATGGTCCAGCCGACGCGCAGTTTCATTTACCACACACACACACACACACACACACTGAAGCACGTGTGACGCTTGCGCTGTTTTTTTGCCTATATGAAGACACAAATGCATAAACTTCCTCTCCAGGCTCTAGATCCACTCCGAAAGTCACTTCGTGATCATTTAACCGCTTCATTTGAGAAAAACTATCGTGACATAAACACACAAACTCAAACGGTCTTCACGGCAACCCGTCAAAATAAAAGTTCGGTTTAACTTGACAGAAATATATTACCGTTGTACAGTAGAATTTAGATATGTCCCAATGTAATAATACTAACACTAATCCAAATAAAGTATCATCAAAACTGAATTTAAGGAATAATCCATGTTTTAATTTTAACAGTAAAGCTCATTGTGCAGCACGTTATTTGACAAAAAGTTTATTTAATTAATTTCATATGATTAAAATTGATGATAAATGATAAAATTTGTGTTTTATGTCTTCATTTTATTACCAGAAAAAACACAACACAGAATTACTGTGAATTGTTTTTTCATATATTTTTTTTAAATGTTGTATACGTGATTCATAATACAGTATTTCAATTAATTAGACATGCTTTTTGATTGCTAAAAAATTTACACCATGTATCCGTAACACGCCCGCTCAGCAACACTAGCAGTTTCACCCCCCCCGAAATAAAATCCTAGGGGAAACACTGTACTCGTCACTCTTGCTTCGTCCCTAAACGAATCTGCTTTTTTGTACGAATCGTTCTAATGAATGACTCAATGACTCACTCGTCACTCCTGCTTCGTCCCTAAACGAATCTGCTTTTTTGTACGAATCGTTCTAATGAATGACTCAATGACTCACTCGTCACTCCTGCTTCGTCCCTAAACGAATCTGCTTTTTTGTACGAATCGTTCTAATGAATGACTCAATGACTCACTCGTCACTCTTGCTTCGTCCCTAAACGAATCTGCTTTTTTGTACGAATCGTTCTAATGAATGACTCAATGACTCACTCATCACTTCTGCTTCATCCCTGAATGAATCTGCGGTTTTCACAGAATCGTTCTAATGAATGACTCAATGACTCACTCATCACTTCTGCTTCGTCACTAAATGAATCTGTGTTTTTTAAACTAATCGTTCTAATGAATGACTCTTTGACTCACTCGTCACTCTTGCTTCGTCCCTAAACGAATCTGCTTTTTTGTACGAATCGTTCTAATGAATGACTCAATGACTCACTCGTCACTCTTGCTTCGTCCCTAAACGAATCTGCTTTTTTGTACGAATCGTTCTAATGAATGACTCAATGACTCACTCATCACTTCTGCTTCTTCACTAAATGAATCTGTGTTTTTTAAACTAATCGTTCTAATGAATGACTCAATGACTCACTCGTCACTCTTGCTTCGTCCCTAAACGAATCTGCTTTTTTGTACGAATCGTTCTAATGAATGACTCAATGACTCACTCGTCACTCCTGCTTCGTCCCTAAACGAATCTGCTTTTTTGTACGAATCGTTCTAATGAATGACTCAATGACTCGCTCATCACTCTTGCTTCGTCCCTCAACGAATCAGTTTTTTTTGTGTGAATCGTTCTAATGAATGACGCAATGACTCACTCATCACTTCTGCTTCGTCACTGAATGAATCTGCGTTTTTTGAACTAACCATTCTAATGAATGACTCAATGACTCAATCATCACTTCTGCTTCGTCACTAAATGAATCTGTGTTTTTTAAACTAATCGTTCTAATGAATGACTCAATGACTCACTCGTCACTCTTGCTTTGTCCCTAAACGAATCTGCTTTTTTGTACGAATCGTTCTAATGAATGACTCAATGACTCACTCGTCACTCTTGCTTCGTCCCTTAACGAATCTGCTTTTTTGTACGAATCGTTCTAATCAATGACTCAATGACTCAATCATCACTTCTGCTTCGTCACTAAATGAATCTGTGTTTTTTAAACTAATCGTTCTAATGAATGACTCAATGACTCACTCGTCACACTTGCTTCGTCCCTAAACGAATCTGCTTTTTTGTACGAATCGTTCTAATGAATGACTCAATGACTCACTCGTCACTCCTGCTTCGTCCCTAAACGAATCTGCTTTTTTGTACGAATCGTTCTAATCAATGACTCACTCATCACTCCTGCTTCGTCACTGAATGAATCTGCGTTTTTTAAACTAATCGTTCTAATGAATGACTCAATGACTCAATCATCACTTCTGCTTTGTCCCTGAATGAATCTGCGTTTTTGAACAAATCATTTTAATGAATGACTCAATGTCTCACTTGTCACTCCTGCTTCGTCCCTAAACGAATTGTTTTTTGTGTGAATCGTTCTAATGAATGACTCAATGACTCACTCATCACTTCTGCTTCGTCACTGAATGAATCTGCGTTTTTTGAACTAACCATTCTAATGAATGACTCAATGACTCAATCATCACTTCTGCTTCGTCACTAAATGAATCTGTGTTTTTTAAACTAATCGTTCTAATGAATGACTCAATGACTCACTCGTCACTCTTGCTTTGTCCCTAAACGAATCTGCTTTTTTGTACGAATCGTTCTAATGAATGACTCAATGACTCACTCGTCACTCTTGCTTCGTCCCTAAACGAATCTGCTTTTTTGTACGAATCGTTCTAATCAATGACTCAATGACTCAATCATCACTTCTGCTTCGTCACTAAATGAATCTGTGTTTTTTAAACTAATCGTTCTAATGAATGACTCAATGACTCGCTCATCACTCTTGCTTCGTCCCTCAACGAATCAGTTTTTTTTGTGTGAATCGTTCTAATGAATGACGCAATGACTCACTCATCACTTCTGCTTCGTCACTGAATGAATCTGCGTTTTTTGAACTAACCATTCTAATCAATGACTCAATGACTCAATCATCACTTCTGCTTCGTCACTAAATGAATCTGTGTTTTTTAAACTAATCGTTCTAATGAATGACTCAATGACTCACTCGTCACTCTTGCTTCGTCCCTAAACGAATCTGCTTTTTTGTACGAATCGTTCTAATCAATGACTCAATGACTCACTCGTCACTCTTGCTTCGTCCCTAAACGAATCTGCTTTTTTGTACGAATCGTTCTAATCAATGACTCAATGACTCAATCATCACTTCTGCTTCGTCACTAAATGAATCTGTGTTTTTTAAACTAATCGTTCTAATCAATGACTCAATGACTCAATCATCACTTCTGCTTCGTCACTAAATGAATCTGTGTTTTTTAAACTAATCGTTCTAATGAATGACTCAATGACTCACTCGTCACTCTTGCTTTGTCCCTAAACGAATCTGCTTTTTTGTACGAATCGTTCTAATGAATGACTCAATGACTCACTCGTCACTCTTGCTTCGTCCCTAAACGAATCTGCTTTTTTGTACGAATCGTTCTAATCAATGACTCAATGACTCAATCATCACTTCTGCTTCGTCACTAAATGAATCTGTGTTTTTTAAACTAATCGTTCTAATGAATGACTCAATGACTCACTCGTCACTCTTGCTTCGTCCCTAAACGAATCTGCTTTTTTGTACGAATCGTTCTAATGAATGACTCAATGACTCACTCGTCACTCCTGCTTCGTCCCTAAACGAATCTGCTTTTTTGTACGAATCGTTCTAATCAATGACTCACTCATCACTCCTGCTTCGTCACTGAATGAATCTGCGTTTTTTAAACTAATCGTTCTAATGAATGACTCAATGACTCAGTCATCACTTCTGCTTTGTCCCTGAATGAATCTGCGTTTTTGAACAAATCATTTTAATGAATGACTCAATGTCTCACTTGTCACTCCTGCTTCGTCCCTAAACGAATTGTTTTTTGTGTGAATTGTTCTAATGAATGTCTCAATGACTCAATCATCACTTCTGCTTCGTCCCTGAATGAATCTGTTTTTTTTAACTAATCGTTCTAATGAACGACTCAGTGACTCACTCGTCACTCCTGCTTCGTCCCTAAACGAATCTACATTTTTGTACGAATCGTTCTAATGAATGACTCAATGACTCACTCGCCACTTCTGCTTCGTCCCTGAATTAATCTTTTTTTTTTTTTTAACTAATCGTTCTAATGAACGACTCAGTGACCCACTTGTCACTCTTGCTTCGTCCCTAAACGAATCTGCTTTTTTGTACGAATCGTTCTAATGAATGAATCAATGACTCGCTCATCACTCTTGCTTCGTCCCTCAACGAATCAGTTTTTTTGTGTGAATCGTTCTAATGAATGACGCAATGACTCACTCATCACTTCTGCTTCGTCACTGAATGAATCTGCGTTTTTTGAACTAACCATTCTAATGAATGACTCAATGACTCAATCATCACTTCTGCTTCGTCACTAAATGAATCTGTGTTTTTTAAACTAATCGTTCTAATGAACGACTCAGTGACCCACTTGTCACTCTTGCTTCGTCCCTAAACGAATCTGCTTTTTTGTACGAATCGTTCTAATGAATGACTCAATGACTCACTCGTCACTCCTGCTTCGTCCCTAAACGAATCTGCTTTTTTGTACGAATCGTTCTAATGAATGACTCAATGACTCGCTCATCACTCTTGCTTCGTCCCTCAACGAATCAGTTTTTTTTGTGTGAATCGTTCTAATGAATGACGCAATGACTCACTCATCACTTCTGCTTCGTCACTGAATGAATCTGCGTTTTTTGAACTAACCATTCTAATGAATGACTCAATGACTCAATCATCACTTCTGCTTCGTCACTAAATGAATCTGTGTTTTTTAAACTAATCGTTCTAATGAATGACTCAATGACTCACTCGTCACTCTTGCTTTGTCCCTAAACGAATCTGCTTTTTTGTACGAATCGTTCTAATGAATGACTCAATGACTCACTCGTCACTCTTGCTTCGTCCCTAAACGAATCTGCTTTTTTGTACGAATCGTTCTAATCAATGACTCAATGACTCAATCATCACTTCTGCTTCGTCACTAAATGAATCTGTGTTTTTTAAACTAATCGTTCTAATGAATGACTCAATGACTCACTCGTCACTCTTGCTTCGTCCCTAAATGAATCTGTGTTTTTTAAACTAATCGTTCTAATGAATGACTCAATGACTCACTCGTCACTCTTGCTTTGTCCCTAAACGAATCTGCTTTTTTGTACGAATCGTTCTAATGAATGACTCAATGACTCACTCGTCACTCTTGCTTCGTCCCTAAACGAATCTGCTTTTTTGTACGAATCGTTCTAATCAATGACTCAATGACTCAATCATCACTTCTGCTTCGTCACTAAATGAATCTGTGTTTTTTAAACTAATTGTTCTAATGAATGACTCAATGACTCGCTCATCACTCTTGCTTCGTCCCTCAACGAATCAGTTTTTTTTGTGTGAATCGTTCTAATGAATGACGCAATGACTCACTCATCACTTCTGCTTCGTCACTGAATGAATCTGCGTTTTTTGAACTAACCATTCTAATGAATGACTCAATGACTCAATCATCACTTCTGCTTCGTCACTAAATGAATCTGTGTTTTTTAAACTAATCGTTCTAATGAATGACTCAATGACTCACTCGTCACTCTTGCTTTGTCCCTAAACGAATCTGCTTTTTTGTACGAATCGTTCTAATGAATGACTCAATGACTCACTCGTCACTCTTGCTTCGTCCCTAAACGAATCTGCTTTTTTGTACGAATCGTTCTAATCAATGACTCAATGACTCAATCATCACTTCTGCTTCGTCACTAAATGAATCTGTGTTTTTTAAACTAATCGTTCTAATGAATGACTCAATGACTCACTCGTCACTCTTGCTTCGTCCCTAAACGAATCTGCTTTTTTGTACGAATCGTTCTAATGAATGACTCAATGACTCACTCGTCACTCCTGCTTCGTCCCTAAACGAATCTGCTTTTTTGTACGAATCTTTCTAATCAATGACTCACTCATCACTCCTGCTTCGTCACTGAATGAATCTGCGTTTTTTAAACTAATCGTTCTAATGAATGACTCAATGACTCAATCATCACTTCTGCTTTGTCCCTGAATGAATCTGCGTTTTTGAACAAATCATTTTAATGAATGACTCAATGTCTCACTTGTCACTCCTGCTTCGTCCCTAAACGAATTGTTTTTTGTGTGAATTGTTCTAATGAATGTCTCAATGACTCAATCATCACTTCTGCTTCGTCCCTGAATGAATCTGTTTTTTTTAACTAATCGTTCTAATGAACGACTCAGTGACTCACTCGTCACTCCTGCTTCGTCCCTAAACGAATCTACATTTTTGTACGAATCGTTCTAATGAATGACTCAATGACTCACTCGCCACTTCTGCTTCGTCCCTGAATTAATCTTTTTTTTTTTTTAACTAATCGTTCTAATGAACGACTCAGTGACCCACTCGTCACTCCTGCTTCGTCCCTAAACGAATCTGTTTTTTTTGTACGAATCGTTCTAATGAATGACTCAATGACTCACTCGTCACTTCTGCTTCGTCCCTGAATGAATCTGCGTTTTTAAACGGATATGATATAATAATATACAATTGGAGATTATGGGGAAAATAATCAACATTCAAGCATGAAAACACAAAAGCAATAACACGCTGTCTGTCTCTGATAGGGTCGGGGAGGGCCGGGCCTGTTGGAGTCTGGGTAACGCTTACGTGTCGCTGGGAAACCACCGCCAGGCTCTTCACTACGCCCGGAAACACCTGGACATCTCCAGAGAGGTGAAGCCAGACTCTGCCGTCCCGCAGCCGCTGTAACTCGACACACACACACACACACACACACACACACACACACACACACACACACACACACACACACACACACACACACACACACACACACACGTGTAACTCGCTCTTTTGCTTCGCTTGCTCTCAGATCGGGGACAGAAACGGAGAGCTGACGGCCAGGATGAACGTGGAAGAGCTGATGGAGGCTCTCGGGGTGAAGGAGGGCGATCTCTCTCCACCCGACTCGGAGTTTAAAGTGCAGGGTAAAAACATCACCACTGCTTAAGCCACGGCGGGGCAAGTTGTCACACTGGATGCTCTGTGCTCGGCTCGTTTTTGACATTGATTTTAAAAGAATACTTGGTTACACTTTATTTTAAGGTGTCATTGTTACAGTGTAATTATATGAGTAATATGAAGTAATTACATGTACTCACTATAGGATTAGGGTTTGGTTGAGGGTTAGTTGCATGTAATTATCCATAATTTACTGTTATTAATATGGTAAGTACATGTATCATATGTAACAAGGAGACTGTAAAATGAAGTGTTACCGAATAATTTTTGTACTAAAAAAGAGCCTTATTCCACAACATACACTACCAGTAAAAGTTTTTAAAATAAGTCTCTTTTGCTCAGCAAGGCTGCATTTATTTGATAAAAAAACAACAACAACAACAGTAATATTGTTAAATATTATTACAATTTAAAATCAGTTGTTTTCTATTTTAATATATTTTAAAATGTAATTTATTCCTGTGATCAAAGCTGAATTTACTCCAGTCTTCAGTGTCACATGATCCTTCAGAAATCACTCTAATATGAGGATCTGATGCTCAATAAACATTTATGATTATTATCAATGTTGAAAACAGTTGTGTACAATTTGTTTCAGGATTCTTTGATGAATAGAAAGTTCAAAAGAGAAGCATTTATCTGAAGTAGAATCTTTAGTAACATTATAAATGTATTTACTGTCACTTTTGATCAATTTAATTAATCCTTGATGACTAAAAGTATTGATTTCTTTTATTTATTTCCCTCCAAAAATAAAATAATAATTCTTACTGACCCCAAACTTTTGAACGGTAGAGTTTAATGTTACAAAATATTTTTATTTCAGATAAATGCTGTTCTTTTGAACTTTCTATTCATCAAAGAATCCTGAAATAAAAATGTAAATAACTGTTTTCAACACTGATAATAATAATTAATGTTTTTTTTGAGCATCAAATCAGAGTGATTTGTGAAGGATCATGTGACACTGAAGACTGGAGTAATGATGCTGAAAATTCAGGAATAAATTACACTTTACTATATATTCACATAGAAAACATCTGTTTTACAATGGAATAATATTTCACAATATTACTGTTTTGTTGTTGTTGTATTTTTAATCATATAAACGCAGCCTTGGTGAGCAGAAGAGACTTCTTTTAAAGACATAAACAATCGTCCCGATCCCACACGTTTGACTGGTAGTGTCAGTGTGTTTAATTTATGTGGCAACTATCTCTGGTCTCGCATATACAGCAAACTTCACCAGACTTGCCCAGCTCACTCATAGTAAAACACAAGAGCCTTTATTTAAGGTGGATTTGTAGAGTTCATGAGGTCGTGGATTGAGTTTTTCATTAGTCTGTAGATCAGGGTTTGTAAAAGCTGCAAAAAAGTGCTTGAATTTGACTTTTTGAAATGTAAGTCCTGGAAAACAGCCGTATTTATGAAAATGTACTTGAAAAGCGCTTGAATTATTGAAAGACAAAAGGCCTATATGTGAAATTAGTGTTTAATTTTATCGATACAACAATATTTTCACACAAAATGAACGCCGCAGCTCGTCTGATGTAGATATAGAGGCATTTCACATGGTTATGAGTGTGATATTGCTCATTAATATCCTTCATTCTTCAGCTCAATCATATATTCATTGGAGAAAAATCAGTTTGAAAAAAGAAATTGATATCTTTTTTATAGTATCCTTTCAATGGTTAAAGTTACTAGTCATTGCATCCGCTGCACTTTATGTGAACCGTTTTGTTTTAATTTCCTTTTATTTACCTTTTTTACAATTTGAAAGATTATAGATATTGTTTGATAAGTGAGATCTCCTTGAAAACCAAAAAAGTAGTTCTTGAAAAGTCATTTTACAGTGTGTGTACGAACCCTGATAGCTGTATATACACACATAATCTCTAGTTTTTATGTCTGCGGCCTGTAGATTGATATTTCGTGATTTATAATAATAAACTTGTGCTTGTGTTCTCCAACAGGAGCCAGACCCAAGTTCAGCAAGAAGAACAGCATGGAGAGTGTTGACCTGTGGAAGTACAGCTCTGAGAAGGTCACATGCTCAACATCTGATTGGGTGATCGAGACTTTGCCATGCAGGACGTGTCCTTGAGTCACAATCTTACAACGAAATCCTGTCAAAAGCCTAGAGCGACCGCGGTCACACACACACACACACACACACACACACACTGAGTGGCAGAAACACTGAGCGCATTGGTTTTCAGTGTGAATGCCGTGAAAAACACACTAAATGTGTGTATCTGACACGGAGTATTTCATTGGACACGGCGGTTGTGATGTTAAATATGACTTTACTCCGCGTTTGCATGAGTGCGCTGTCGGTTTATTAAGCATAATCGGATGTTTTTAAATAAACACTGACAAAAAACCACACCAGTTTTATGGCTGGATGATATGATGATATATATAACACTGATATGAGTGATCACATGGATTTAGACCTATATTGTGTTTATATAAAGCGT